TAGGGGTCCAAATCTCATAAATAGTACCTACTAATATTAAATAATTAATTAATTATAAGTATGTAGCCTTTTAATTTTAAACTACAACTTACTAACAATCATTGTGTTATAAATCGAGAGTGAGAATTGGATTAAATAGCTTTATTATTATTATCCTGTATTAAACACTGCCACTTATTATTATTATTAATTAATTAGACAATCGCTCAGGATTACGATAAAATGTAAATTAAAAAAAACAATTATTTCATTATGTAAATTGTTTATCAAAAAACATTAGTGCGACTAATTATACAATTATTTAGCAGAAAACTAGTAACAACCAGTAGTAGAACAATTGACATTTTCAAACAGAACTCAACGAATATAACAACAGCATAAATGACGATGCAGTTTTGTCAACAAACAAAACCGGTCAAAGAGAAATAATATGTAAATTATTTGGGAATAGAAATGGTTCTTTTGATAATGGGAGCATCGGGTTCAAGAACGAGTATATCACGGGTGGTCTCGTCTTCCCCGGCCACGTGGGATGTTTTTTTTCTATATTATTTGCTATGTCCATTCATTGATTTACGTTCGTTAAACACGAACGTGTCGGGATGCGACACGGAACTGTTTTGTTTACAATATAGAATGACTTATTTGGGAAAATAGCGCATTGTGTTTATTAAATAACCATTCATTTATTGAGTATTATGTATATAATATATTAATATATAATAATAATTATTTTATTTCGCAGAGTAAAATAGTGCGTAGTTTACATTCTTAGGCTCCTAATTAGATTCAAATTTACCAACATTTACAATATAAACCGGGAACATATTTTCAAAATTATTCTCAAATTTATTACGAATTGTGTTTAATTTAAGTGAGTAAGTCTTTTTTTTTTATTGTTTAGATGAGTGGACGAGCTCACAGCCCACCTGGTGTTAAGTGGTTACTGGAGCCCATAGACATCTACAACGTAGACGCGCCACCCACCTTGAGATACAAGTTCTAAAGTCTCAGTATAGTTACAACGGCTGCCCCACCCTTCAAACTGAAACGCATTACTGCTTCACGGCAGAAATAGGCAGGTTGGTGGTACCTATCCGCGCGGACTCACAAGTGGTCCTACCACCAGTAATTACGCATATTATAATTTTGCGGGTTTGACTTTTATAAGACGATGTTATTCCTTCACCGTGGAAACCAATTGTGAACATTTGTTAAGTACGTACATATATCATTAGAAAAATGGGTACCCACCCGCCTGGGATTCAGACACCGGTGCATCGCTCGACACGAATGCACCGGACGTCTTATCCCTTAGTCCACGACGACTTCCACCATTTAAATATCTCAATATTTTGACGCGACCCGTGATCATTTGAAGTTAATTTGATAGAATGATTTCACAATAAGACGTGTTCGATTTCTTCTAACGGCTTCCAGCGGCCCTTTGCTCCTAATTGGACGAATCATCGTCAATTTATCTCGTTCCGTTCAATGCGTTATCGTAACAAAACAGAATATTGTGTCAGTTCCTTACAAACATACTTCTTGTGTCTTTTTGTCTTACGCAGCATTACTTTGTATTCGTTTTCTTCTTACGTTATTTATTTATATAAAAAAGTAAATATTCGTCACTGTTATAAGGCATATTATGTTTTTGTGGGTAAATTACAAAAATATGAAGGGATATACTGTTTATGTCAGCCGACACTGACGTTCGCCTGCGCTGTCAAACAAGGCGACGTACACACTTTTGCTTCACTACATAGTATAATAAAACAAAGTCGCTTTCTCTGTCCCTATATCTCTATGTATGCTTAAATCTTTAAAACTACACAACGGATTTTGATGCGGTTTTTTATAATAGATAGAGTGTTTGAACAGGAAGATTTGTATGTATTATAATATCCATTAAATAGTGGAGAAATCAATAAAAAAGGGTCCGTGTACTTATGTATAGCTTCTATAGTACTAGCTACTATAGTATAACTTCAATAAATTACAGTTTCCAAAGCGAAGCGAGGGCGGGTCGCTAGTAAACGATAATTCTAATTTCAAGTTGCTTTTGCAGCACTTAACTTTTCAGATTTCCGTCATTACAAAAACAATAAAGCATGCAAAACATTGGATCATGTAACGAATAAAATGTGTATGAGTTTTAAGATTAATTAGTCTCTTCAGTTTGTGTAAGCTCGTGATCCGTTAAGACTAAGAAAGACCACAGACCACAGCTAAAATTGTATAGGTATTTAAATTATTTTTAATGTTTTCTTGCTACTATCGTTTCTTGTTCTCTTTTTACATTAACTCTGAGGATGCGAATGGATTTTCTTAATAGTTACAGTCTACAGATATGTAAATATTTGTACCTCTGTATTACTTTTAATTGATAGAGAATATCAGATATTTTAAAATTAATGTTTTAAAAATATGATTCAAACACGAATTGCGTTATCTATATCTAAACAGGCAAAGGCTAACTAGTTCAGAATCTATATAATAATATATTACGATAGCTTTTTCGTTTTGTATCTCTTTAAATATCAAGAACAAAACAAAAGAGAATACATGAACGTAATGAATTAAATTAATTGGAGTCTTGAGGTGTCGAGTTAAGTCTGAATTTCGACAATTAAGCGTGCACTAAGTACATAAATTAAACATCCTATTTTATTTATTTTGCATGGTTTTTGGTCGATCCGATTGCCCTAGATATTGGCATATACATAAACTAATCAACACTTAAATAACATTAAGGTATCTATAGAAGTATAGATTATTTTATCCATGCATTACATTGCGTAAGAGTAACATAACTGACATAGCTACAATGATGCGTTGTATTCAGAAATTCTGCTTGAAACAAAAACAATTTCACTTATCTCCGTAATGAGGCTCATTTCTTTTTAAATAAGTTTCATTGTGTGTCGCGTTGAGAATTAAAAAATGTTCCTTTTAATATTTAGAACAAATGAATATTTGCACCAAAGTCAAGGCATAAGCAAGTTATAAATTAGAAAAACTATCAGTTTCGTCTCATAGTACTAACTCAGACTGTAGGTACCATCGAAGACGGATATTATCTTAAGTTCTCTTATAGATTCACTGGTATTTGTAATCGCCTAGTCATTAATAAAAACAGTTGACTACTTAAGCGCAGTTTATTTAGTCATGAGTCAATCGCGAATTCCTATAATGGTTGTGGCAGTGCGATCTGCCCTATGACCCAGTGCAGGTTGGTACAACATCCTATTTCTGTCGCTATCGCCATACTGAGATTTCGAGCGCACAGTTTATATTGTCATGTCAATAAGTCCAAATAACAAGTAATTGCCACCCGGATGCCCGTTATGATAGTATGTAGTTAGTTTTTTAGACAACACACAAGCAGTAAAATAACTTAACAGTTTTTGCAGTTTCATTACGAGACCGCTCCATTTTCAGAGTTTACAACGCAACGGTTCAAATCGACCTACGGTTACAAATGACTATGATTTTTGAACGAATTTTTTGACGAATGATTATATTGTATTTTGGACAATTACCTACACGAAAACTTATATTTTACAATTTCTGTGATAATGATAACAAAAAGCAATGATAAATTAAACAACGTGATATTATTTAGCCTTATTCAAACGATTTAGGTCTGTCGCATACAGAATTAATATCCACCATTTTAGTACATTACATTAGTTACATAACCGCGAATTTTTAAATGTCGACAAATACAATTAACGTATCATAGTATCTTTCGTGTTTGACCAATTGTTTTTTGCGTAAATTTGTTGGCACGAAAAACAAAATTAAGCTTCTTTACTATATAGTCACATCTCAACAAATAATAGAATATTACACGACCCTGTATGAGCATGGCTATGCTCCGTCGAGCTCAATGGAGCGATGTATTTATTTCACGAACGATTTCACTTAATCGAGTAACTACGAGTTCTAGGTTTCCGTCGAGATTCTAAGCATGATATTAACAAAACCTAGCTTATAATACTTTACGATTTAATCTTGCAATCATCCAATCAAATAATTTACATTTCAGATTTCGCAAACTTTGATTTTGTGCTCACGAATGATTTTACTAACACCGATTTTTTTTTTTTTTTATTTTTTTTTTATTGCCTTTGTAGGCAGACGAGCATACGGCCCACCTGATGGTGAGTGGTTACCGTCGCCCATGGACTTCAGCAATGCCAGGGGCAGAGCCAAGCCGCTGCCTACGATTTTAACTAGTTTGGTTTATCTTCACAAAATCCACATGAATACGAAATTCTGATGTATTCAATTTATTACTTTCATCATCAGCCTATAAGATGTCTACTGGTGGACTTCATTAATATAATTTTGAGAGGTAAATTATTAAGCGGAAACGCATATACCTAGTTTGAGTTTTTTTCATTGGCTGACAGTGACGCAAACTTTTCAAAGGATTCGTCGTCCGTGCCTTTAAATCTGTTCGATAAGTGCTGTGATGGCATTATTTTACGGAAAATTTAAATATTTTAATTTATTTTATGACGACTTTAATTTAGCATTTAAAATTTTGTACCAATTTTCGTTTCATTCCCAAAGGTCCCCGTAACTTTCAATCAGAATTGGGTCAGACTACCTACACTATAATTGGTAAGACTAAAGACATATTTACTATTTCATCCCGGGTTTGTACCGTCCACTTTACTATTTACACTATTCAAAGTATTACTATTTAAAGTTGTCGTTGTCACAAATGACCAAAAGTGCTGTATTATATAATGCACGATAACATTACGATAATAATAAAAAATACATTTTATCTTCACGATATCACGAAAGCATTTTTCTTTGAATCCCGAATATTCGTGGGACCCAAATGAACTTCAGAAGATATCAAGTCACGTCCCGAGAATACGCAAGCACAACCTTCCCCTAAACCACGGAATCTATTAACAATTTACGCACACGCCCGTTTCAGGATTTTACAAAAAAATATACTAAAAACGAACACTTACGTTGATCGAAAAAGCAGCGTTCCAGTCCATTCATAACGCAGAGTACAACCTCATTATGCACATGAACTACACAATTTAAAAAAAAAACGTCCCGACCGGGTGCACTTCACAAGTGACGTCACACTCAAAACAAATCACAGCGAATGTGTTAACACGGGTGTCCGCAACAAACGGTCTTCGTTTGCACGTATTGCCTCATCGGCGGTCGGCGCGCGACTGGCTTGCGCGGCGCAACGGCCGTAAGGGTCGGGGAGGGGGTGCGTGCGTTCGGAATCCGCTTCCCACGTGCTCTGCTTCCATCTCCCTCACTCGGGACGGGTTAGCTTTTTAAAACGTTCGTAAGTAGTGGCCCGTCGACGCATCGATACAGCCGCCGGCGAACCTTGTTTATATGCATTGTAGCTAATAATAACAAGCGTATGACGCTTCGAAAGCTTAACGCTTAAGCGTTGTCTTTTTAAAGTTTGCATTTCGTGAAGCGCGTGCCGTGTGATACGAGCTTCGTGATATCCGGTTCTTTAATTAAGTTTTACGGCGCCTTTAAGCGCATTTAGTTATACGTATTAGTGAATTGTAGTCTTTTTTTTGGTGTTCAACAATAATTTATCTTGCTCGGAACATTTACTGATTTATTCCGATTGAGCTTGTAGGTTTGTTAGTTTAAGAATATATTAACTTCTAAATTCAGTAGTAAGGAAAATACAAAGACAACGTATGCACAAAATAATAAATAAGATACAAGCATACGTTTAGTGAGTAAACTTTAAAAAAGATGGGTTACTAGTTTTCTGGGCTTCTTTGTCGGCGTGGACTACACTTTAGCTCACGTGGGTGGAGGTTAATGCTGAGCACTGGAATTAAATTTCACCTATTTTCATTCCCATAGTTAATATCGTATTTTTAATATTAATGTGGATAATCGCGTTTCAGTGATCCAAGAAAACTTTTTCGTAAAATGTAATGTCCTTTTTTCATTCTATAATAATGCATCAAATTTTGTAAACATTACAATAATTGGATTGGTTGATGTTGATGCACTATTACTATTGAACTTACGTTGTTATACGATTTTAAGGCTCAATAAATAATCAGATTGCAGTTTCAGAATTATTTTTTTAGACTAAGATTAATTCAATGCGCAGCTGACAAGCTTGTATACATTAATTCGGCGTTCACTTAAATATGTGGGTCATTTCTGGATTGTAGTAATTAAAAAAAAAACGATTGTAGTAGTGTAAGTAATCAGTATTTTCATTAATTGTATTTCAGATTGAGGGTTTCCCATTTTGTTGTTTAAACTGGTGAATGAGCTCACAGCCCACCAGGTGTTAAATGGGTATAGGAGGCCATAGACATCAACAACGTAACTCAGCCGCTGTTGCTGTGGTGGTTCCTACACATGCAGGGTCACAAAACGCCCTACCACCAGTAATTACGTAAATTATAAAATACATATGTGGGTTTTGTTTTATTACACAGTTTTCTTCGCAATATTTCATTAGAAAAGTTGGTACCTGTTTACGGGATTCGAACGCCGGCACATTCGCATCGCTCGATACGAATGCACCGGGCTTCTTATCCTTTAGGCCACGACGACTTTTACTATGGGCAGTCCAAAATAAAAATACGTGTAGTGTATTCACAGGGGCTCATAAACGACAATACAATTGCCTTGTCTGACAAAGGTGAGAAATTAAAAAAGATGTGTGGTGTCGTGGAACACCGGATAGGAACGAAGTTCCTTATTATAAAAATATTAATTTTAAGTTCTATTCGAGGTATAAAGAAAATAAAACTGGAGCTTTCGCAACAATCCACGGTTATTCGGTAACGTGCGAACTTATTGTGGTACACTTCATTCACGGTTGTTTGCATAAGAGTTAGTGTATTGCGCAAACGAACGCTCTGAGATCGTGGTCAATTAATGATAAAAATTTTTGTACGTTATTACAAAGTTAAGTCATGCATAAGCAAATTAGTAATACACACTATGTGTATTACTAATTTGCACGTTATTACAAAGTTAAGTCGTACACTGTGTGCATTACTAATAAAAATCTTACGTTACGGACGTTTTTTCCCGGTTAGGGTATCCCTCCGCATCGTCCCATAAGGAGGTTCGTTCCAAAAAGAACACTAAAATATCGTCGTCAAAGTCTGGTATAAATACCAATAAGAGTGTTTATTTCGGCGACCGTTCGACATTATCTCCTATCGTCGTGTCACTCAACAGGAGGACTTTACCACTTTTTACTCGAGGGCTGAGAAGGATGCTCGTAGACGCAACGTTGAAAGATTCCATAGTTTGAATACCACCCGTGTTGATAGTTATTTTTGGGTGACCATACGTTTCCCTATTCGATTTGCCTTCTTATATTTCATTTTCAGGAAAATTATTATCTTATCTTATATCTTTAAACGAGCAATTATTGTATATATATAATCTGAATCTCGGAAACGGATCCTATCATTTTCATAAAATTTAGTTTAGAGGGAATTTCGGGGGCGATAAATCGATCTAGCTACGTTTTATTTTCAGAAAATGTTGTTTTATTCGTGTTGTCAATAATCATCTTTATCTATAATCAACTTAAACATTAACTTATTTTTATTTTTATTGAAAGAAAATAACAAATAATATAATTTAATATTAACGTGTAATTCGTATTTAAATATAAATTCTAAAAAACACAAAATATAAAAAAAAAATTCATTATCCTCTAGTTAATATTTAATTTGAACATCATTTTTAATAAACATTTACATACTTTGATTTGCTTGCGGTTAAGTCTTATGCAAATGAAAATACACTGTAATATCCGTGTCAAGACTAAGAGAAGAAATGCGGTCTTATTAAGCGATTGACTACAATAATATTTTGGGTGTGATAGTGTATTGAATCAAACTACAAGGACTTTTGATAAAACTACAAACAGGATGATTTGATGAGGAGGTTGTATTGGATTTTTCTGAAATGGGAACACATGTCGTTTATGATAATGTAACTTCATTAATAATTGACTGATGCTCTCGATTCATGTTCTTGTGTGAACTCTGCATAATTTTGGTGGTAAGGCATCTTGTGAGTCCACGCGGGTAGGTACCACCCTCCTGCCTATTTCTGCCGTGAAGTAGTACGTCGTTTCAGTTTGAAGAGTGGAGCAGCCGTTGGACTTTAAAAACGGAGACTTAGAACTCATGTCTCAAGATGGGTGACAGAATTTACGTTGTTGATGTCTATGGTCCAGTAACCTAACAGCAGGTGGGCCGTGAGCTCGTGAGTCAATCTAAGCAACAAAAAAATATAAATGTTGTTGCTTAGATTGACTATTTCCGCCGTGAAGTAGTAATTCGTTTCGGTTCGAAGGGTGGGGTAGCCGTTGTTGAGACCGTAGAACCTATGTCTCGAGTTGGGTGGCGCATTTACGTTGTAGATGTCTATGGTCTAGTAACAAGTTAAAAGCAGGTGGGCCGTGAGCTCGTCCGCACATCTAAGCAATAAAAAAAAAATAGATGATCAAGTTACATTAAAGTGAACTCAATTTTAAGACAATGAAAATGAATTATTTTTACTATTAGAATAGCTAATCTCATAATCGCTAATCCAATGACTCGTTCCAAGAAGCCCCAAAATATCCGTACTGGACTATTTATAGTTCCAACACACTCGTAATTATAGTTTTCGTAACCTTGATAGAACGCTCAACTACAGAGTGCTAGAAACAGTTCACAGAAGTGATACAATAAAATAATATATAGCAATATGATGCTTGGACTATTACTGGACTTGGGCTGAAATCGTTTTTATATTATTTTTTTTGCTTAGATGTTTGGACGAGCTCACAGCCCACCTGATATTAAGTGGTTACTGGAGCCCATAGACATCTACAACGTAAATGCGCCACCCACCTTAAGATATAAGATCTAAGGTCTCAAGTATAGTTACAAGTATAGTTAAATAAAGGGTCTCATTAAGTAAATTTCACAGCTCGCGGTGAAGGCCTTCCTTAAATCATTAGATCGAAGTTTCAACTGAATGGGATTACGATTGACCCACCCTTTAAACCAAAACGCATGATATATTTTTTTGCTTTTCTAGAAATGGGTTTTTTGGTGTGGTGGGTTCTTCTTATCCCAATCCCGTAGTGTCTGAAGACCAAAGCCTTTGACCAGTCATGGAATACGCCACTGAGACATGGTCACAGAATGTGAGGTGAAGGAAGAAGGTGAGAATTACAATGGGCCTTATCATAGTCAACCAAACAGAAATAGGGAAAACTAATCAGTTACGCAAACTTATAAAATTTTTGTTTTTATTAATATTTCTAACAGGCCTAAAATATTATGAAGAATTAATGGGTGAGTGTATTTCTTCACAGTCTATTTTTATTTGTGGGGCATTAACCGAATCAAAGATGTGACGTCACCCCACATTTACAAATAGGATTCCCTTAGCGTGACACTCAATTAAAACATTCGTAGGGTGTACCTATATTTTAAAATCTGGTAGCGCTACCGATTTTTTTTTGGTATTTGTGTAAAACTACAGGGTAATAGGTATATACATCTATGTAGAATATACATATGTAACGTAAATATAGCAACGATTTCGCATTAAGACGCGTTTTCTCTCCTGTACTATAAAATTGTGAAATAAAGACCGGTCGATCGGGTTCATGAGGGGTATTCACCACTCATCATCGGCTAGTCACTTTTTTCATCTGTCTTCGAGGAATTGTTGTTTTTAAAGTTGCTTATAAAGCAAAATGTCCGGTAAAATGCATACCTATTTTTTTTTCGGTATTTATACCAAAATCTTAGAGAATCCCTTCTCAATGCACTATCGGCATGCCCATTAGGATTCCTTGCTCGAGTGTAAAATGCATTACAGTTAAGAATAATCTAATACACTGTTGTTGAGACCGGCGTTCGTAGGGTTAATTCCTTCCATCAGTTAAGCTTTATGGATTTTTTAGTTCCTATTAATAGGCAAATGAGCTAAAGGCCCACAGGGTATTAATGTAAATTGTATCTTATAGACGTAAATTACTCAGCTTAAGACCTTAGTTTGACGACTTAATTGAATTTAATTACCGCTTTTTTGTCTTACCTATGGGTAACCTCAAAGGGTTATACCAGCTTCACTGGGCGAATAGGTGAGCTCAGGGGCCATAGCCTGCTGTACTTGCTAAAACTAGTCCTA